ATTTCTCGTTTGTTTATTATGAGTCCCCTGCCAACGAGGCAGGGCGGAATCCGTGATCTGCGCTGGCTGTGTTTCCTCAGAGGATTGTAACCCTGATGTATCCAGCCCATTTCAAGGCCGAATCCATGTTTCCGTTGTTGTTGTTGTTGTTGTTGTTGTTGTTGTTGTTTTTTTTTTCTGTTTCTGGAATCTGACAATCTGAATCCGTAATCTGCTCGTGCTGTGTTCCCTCAGAGGATTGTAACCCTCATCACACTGACACTTAGAGGAACATATGCAGCCATTTTCACGGCCGAATAAGTGTTTCTGTTTTTTTTTTTTTTTTTTTGTTATTTGAATCTGACAACCTGGCCACGGGGCTGAGATGCCCTCACTCAGGGCACAGTCACACTACCACTTCCAAGAATGTATACAACTGCAATCACGGCCAGAGCATTGTTTCCTTTTCTTTTTTTGTGAGTTTCAAGGCCGCAACTTTTCTTTTATTTTTCCCTTTTTTTTTTCTCCCCCTGAGAGTACCATAAAGAAATGGAGTGGGACCAGGCTCGGCAAACTCGGAGCGCAGTGAAATTCAGGGTCGGCAAAAACAGGCTCGGAGGTACTGGTGGTTTAACTTTGTTTGGTATTAAAAGGACAAGAACAGAGGCCAGGGACCTCACAATTCAACCCGGATTGCAGAAAAATAGGTCCAGCATCCTATCTTGGGTATCAGACTGGAAAGCAGGTCCAGTGTCCTCAGCAGAAGATATAGAAAACTGGCTGGACACCAGGTCCAGCGTCCTTTCCAAAAAAATGCTTCTAGTAATTCTAGCATTTCTGCATATGACGGAAGAAAATCAGGTCCGGCGTCCCTTTTTATATTCAATGACATAGCTTTCTGATAGCCTTATGCGTTCTGCTGCTCAGTGCCCTTACGAGCTCAGAAGGGACGTCAGACCTTCTCAGTCTGATGGGCTGCCTGCTGAATCCATAATACCTAGGTCTGTGAGTGGGTGATCCCACAAGAGCTCCGAGTACCTGAGCTTGTCCCTGTCATCGAAGTAGGCCCAAGAGTGTAGAGAGGCCCACTTGGATTGGAAGAGAATCTTGGGAGATTCTGTCGAGCCTGTTTGCTTCTTGATTTTGACCCACTCCGACATGATGTCTAGTCTGATAGCATGCTTATATTCTGCGAAGATAGAGCCCAGGGTGGTGGCTTTCTGAGAAAAGATTCTCCCTCTCCTAGCTAGCCAGAGCACCCAAAAGGCTCTCACCCAAATAACTATGCTATTTTTAGAGGCTGTTTGTCACAAGCCTGTTCTGTTCTACCCTCGAAAACAAATTCCTTCTGCCATATCAGAGATCCTCCCTATGCTTGTGACCACATTTGTTGTAATCTGTCCCCAAAAACTCTTGCAATGACACATTCCCACAATAGATGCAACGAGTCTTCTAATGGAAAAAGCGTTTTCAACAGTGGTGCGGCAAGGCCTTGATCTAGGCCTGTTCATAGGGCCTCCCTCCAGTACTCTTGACATGCACCAAAGACAAAAATCATGGGGTTGTATCTTTCCATGTTCTAATGGCAAATCCACTCTCGTTTTGCACATTTCCAGAGTAGTAGAGCGACGCCAGTAGTTTTTGTTAAAAAAATAAAAAATAAAAAATAAAAAATAAAATTGTTTTTGCCTCTTTTAGCCACCTGGACGCTTGTAATTCTCTCGAATTGTTAGGGCAAAGCCACACCACTCTCGAAATGTGCAAAATGAGAATGAACTTACTCCTAGAACAATGCCAGATGCTCAGGCCACATTTTTGTCTTTTTCACATTTCGAGAGTGGGGGGGGGAGGCCCTTATTTTGGGCCTCGTCGCACTACTCGCCATCGGCCAACATTTTGATTGCATGTGGACATAATGTTGTCCAGGTAGTGCAACTAGGTAGGGCCTTCGCCTCTTTTTTGAACTGGTCCTACTTCTGAGCTTGGCCCGTGATGCCTATGCCAAGTACCACAATGCCAGCGTCTCCTCAGCGCTTGAATCTGTCGACGTGTTTGAGGAGATGTGCAGAAATCACGTTGGGGTTTTTCAACCGCACATCGCCACAAACACGTCCAGATTCATGCGTTGAGGAAACTCAACGCTGCGCCTGGTTCATCAAGCGGAGCACACAACAATTTTCAATTTTCCCGCCGTTGTCAGCTATTGATGCCAAGCCTGAAATCACCCTGCGCGCCAAAAAAAAAAAGGGAACCACCACGGGCCTCATTTTGGCTGGCGCCACTGGTGGCTTAATTTAAAACGGGTGCAGTGCGTACGCGAGAGCCTAGCTCAGTTTTCCCCCCCCCAAAAAAAGAAAGAGAGCCTAGCTCAGTGGGTACACCCATGAACTGTTGAAAGACGGACCTGAGTTCGAATCCCGATGATGGAACTTGACTAGTACAACCAACTACTTAGGAATTGCCTGGCTGTACAGCAATACGGTATCAATATCAATCAGGTTCCAATAGGCCCATCAGGCCTCTGTGGTCATCATGGTCATCATTCTTAGACAAAGGGTCTCGCTGCCTATACCCATGGAACCAGACCTACTCCACGACATTTGTGAGGGACGCCAGGCCCGTTTCCTGTGGCCTGCACAACGAAAGTTTGTTTTTGTTTGGAAAAAAAAGGGTAATTATTTTACTCTGTCCGTTGCAGGTTTCGGACTCGCGTATGTATTTCAACAGTTCATCAAATCAATGTGCCCACTGCGCCACGCCCGACCGTAGCGGCCGTACACTTTTTTGGTGTTCTGCTGCCCAAAAAGGAATACTTGGGATATGTGGCTGGCGTCCGTTCGGTCGGTGGCGTCTCAGCGGGGTTTGCCACGTGGCGATGCAAGCCATGTCATCGCCACGTCAGGACTGAGTCGGTAAGTTGGCTGCCGAACGGTTTCCTCATTGAAACGATTGTCGTTGTTGTTGTTGTTGTTGTTGTTGTTTTTTTTTTTTTTTTTTTTTTTTCGTCTTCTCCTCCTCCTTTTTTTTTGTTTTTTTCTTTGTTCTTTTTTTTCCCTGTTTGTCATGTTCTCCCTTTCAAGCGCAGCGAAAAAAAAAAGCCCAGCGATCGTTCGTATCTAGCAGAGACGATCTGGTCAGATCGCTCGCTCTCGCTCCGCTCAGAGCGACCGAGCGGCAGAGAGAGAGAGAGAGAGAGAGAGAGAGAGAGAGAGAGAGAGAGAGAGAGAGAGAGAGAGGTCTA